CGTACGTACACACACACACACACACACACACACACACACACACACACACACACACACACCCCTCTGTTTGTGGGTCTTAAATAGTTTTTTTATTGTTTCCAAGGTCGGGGGGAGAAAGAGAGAGAGCATGCACACACAAAATTTTGTTGTGGACAGTCTGGTCTATACTCCATGTGGACGTTAAAGTTCACGAAGATGATGCTGATGATGACAAGCAACCAATTTTCTTTACTTGGATTCTCTTAGCTTTGGCCTAACCTTGTGCCTACTGAAGCCAAATGGGAGTTTTACCACCAATGAGAATTTCGCATGAATCAAAGAAGAGTTAAGCCAATGCGGAAGGGTTCTGAGAGTTAACATTTTGATGGCCTCCTTAATTGGAAGCACTGTATTTGCAAGCACAAAGACCACGATTTGTCCATGTACATGGACATTGGTTACAGCAAATAAGTGCCTGGCTGCCTATCTAAAATAAAGAACTAACAATGGTTACGTAAAGGGCTGTTGAGGTGAGTGTGTACACGCATGGAACTAATCAGACACATACTGATTGTCCATTGACCACTACTTGTCTATTGTATCCCTTTCCAACATCCTCCTCCTCCGTCTATATATATAATAGGCTCTTCAGCATCGGGACATTGTCTTCCTACGTGGTCTGTACAGCATGTGATATATTTTGAGCACTTCAATCTAAACAACAATGATCTGTTTGTGCACACAGCTCTCCATGCTCCATGAGCAAATGGATGCAACTGAAAATATCACAAGAAGCGATAAAATCAATATTGCAAGTGAATTTTAAGGATCCTCCTCGAAAATTTAGCCCATGGGGGTCATTTACTCATTTTGGATACTAAGGTTTTAATTTCAGACTCTTCTAGGCAAGAATGTACTGCTCTTGTGGGGTAAGGAGGAGAATGGAACACTTGGGAGTTGTAGAGAGGAGGCAAAGTAGGAGAGTTAATGCAACAGAGTTAAAACCGCGGAGAATCTGGGATTAAATCCTGTGTAGCTCTCAAATTAAAGTGATTTTGGACTTTGAAACTTAGATCTCTACTGATGTCTGCCATCATCGGAAATCACCCCTCTGCTTTAGCACATTTAAGAGAGGACAAAGCATTAGCAGAGCTGTGCTGAAGGGACCAGAGCTTGAAGATGACAGCAAGGGGTGCAGGACTGGGGCACATTAAACAGGGGGCTGTTTGTGGAGAGCATGCACAGCCCGGTCCTCTCAATCTATAGTCACAATGCGAACATAAAGATGTCTGACAAAAGGACATGTGGAAAGGGCTCTACAGTGCTGTCTCTGTTAGTGTAGATGGATGTGATCAGCATGACTCCATCTCAGGCTAGTGGACTGGTTATGCAGGCCCAAGGGGCATTTGGGACGCGAGATGCAAACAGAGCACTTAGCTAAGAAATGACAGCGGTCGTACCTACGCACACCGGCAGTGGTTGGTCCCAAGCTCTGCGTTCTCCTGTCAAACAGACCAGCGCCCTGCTGCCTCGTAACGTATAGCCAGGGTCACAGTTAAAGGACACAGAGCTGCCCGCAAAGTGCCCTTCGTCACGGACCTTGTAGCCAAACTGTGGGATGCCGGGGTCCTCACACTTAATGAGCTCAAAACCTGGAACCAGAGACGAGGAAGCTGTTTTCATCAGATATTTAACAGTCAGGTACGCTAATAAGTGGGAAGATAATAAAACAGTTACTGCTTTTCCCGGGTCATCAGGTGTGAGAATTTTCTTCTCCTAATGTGGATCTCATGGCTAGTGGGAGAGAAGGAATGTTCAATGAATCATGGTCTTGTGATTAAGACACTGGACTGGGACTCCAGGGATTTCAGTGCCCAGCTTTTTCAGACTTCCTGTGGGACCTCTGGCAAGTTCACCAGGTCTTGTCTCCACTAGCAAGGGTTTGCTGGAATAACTATCCCATACAGCTGTACTGATACATCTTCCTTGTGGAGATGCAGCTTATACCAGCTCCATGAATGAAATAAGCTATGCTGGCCAAAGGACTTTTTACTAGTATAATTCCATCTACTCTAGGGATGACTATGTCACGCTTCTAACTGACACCGCTATGCCACTAAAATGTTTAAGTGTAGACCGTCCAGGGCTTAATCTCTTTGTCTCCCAACTCTCCATCTGCAATATGAGGATAAGAATGTTTCTTCTCTGCCATACTTTCTCTGTGATGTCTATTTAGGCTACTGGCTTTTTAGGGCAAGGATTGTCTCTCAGTATGGGTTTGTACAGCGCCTCACGCAGTGGGACCTTGGTCTCAGTTGGAGCCTCTCGGCGCAACAGTGACAGTCTGGGTTTGTCATCTCATGAGCAAGCAGGCCTGTGACTTACTAGAAAACTGTAGCTCAAAGCCTTTACTCGTGTTCTCGCTGTTGGAGATAAATTCAAGCCACATGCTGCTGGAGGTGCTGTTGATACGGGTGCCCAGCATCTCAGTGCGGCTGAAGGAGCCCAGCAGGCGAGCAGAGTTGTTGTTACCGTCATAGACCTGGAAGATTAAAAAAAAAAAAAAAAAAACGTATATTTGGTACTTCAGGGGTCTAGCCACTAGAGGGGGACAGAGAGCCACCCGGTGTTATCACGGTGGCACCCGTTTAATCATTGAACACGCTAATGAACATCCACAAGGATGCCTGTCACCGGGCTACTGACTGATGGGCCAGAATGACGGGACCACCGCGGAAATGGGAAGGAATGGAGTCAGGGGAGGAAGTTGGGAAATGCAGCACTTCTTAAGAAGGCGTGCCTCAGTATGTATTTTATCACCATCTACACCAGGGGTTCTCAAACTGGGGGTCGGGACCCCTCAGGGGGTCATGAGGTTATTACACGGGGGGGTCGCGAGCTGTCAGCCTCCACCCCAAACCCCGCTTTGCCTCCAGCATTTATAATGGTGTTAAATATATAGAAAAAGTATTTTTAATTGACTAGGGGGGTCACACTCAGAGGCTTGCTATGTGAAAGGGGTCACCAGTACAAAAGTTTGAGAACCACTGATCTACACCCATTCGCTTTTAGGTCACCCCTCTGATGTTCCTACAGTAGCACACCCTTCTCTGGTGCTGCTTTGCTTCCGCCACCCTTTGGAATGAGCTGGGTCTGGATTTACATGGGACCCAAACCCCTCCCACTGCCAGCAGCCTCTGAGAGGATGGAGGGGCTGATTAGAGCCAGCTGGGTCACATCCTGTGTGTCACAACCACATAAGAGTTCTCTCTGTCACAGTGACACATCGGTGGTCAATTCTGAGGATGGTTTTTGTGACTGGAGTCACCAGGAACTGGGCTGAAACCACCAAATATTTTCACTTAGGCCATCAAATGGCCACGTTAATTAACGACCCAGAGGGGAAAGTCTCCTTATCATGTTTGCTGATCGGGAGGTAATGTTAAACTCCACTGAAATACCCTGGACTGGGTGGAACGTTCCGGTCATAGCAGGAAACGTAAATGTTTCATTAATCTCTTCTGTCGTATTTATATGGCCCCCATTACCGTGGGATCTGAGCTCCTCATAACCTTGAATGTGAGCCATCCATTTCACCCTGGTAGTACAGACACACAAAATCTAGCCTTGTGGCTAACCTAATGCACCTCCTTTTGTTGGGTAAAAATATACACACACATCGGCTGCAAGTTGTCATTTGCCATGATACAGACAATCTGGGATGAAACAATGGATCACATTGCTGATGTCTGTGAGTAACACCTGTCCCTGGGTCAGCAGTGAGGAAGGTTGGTTTGGGATTAGGGCCCTAACCTAGGACTTGAGAGACCTGGGTTTAATTCCCTGTCCTGACACAGGCTTCCTGTGTGACCGTGCACACGTCACTTAGGGCTTGTCTACACTTCAAACACTACAGTGTAGACACAACCTATGTAGATGAGAGGGATTCTCCCATCCGTATAGGAAATCCACCTCCTCAAGAGCGGTAGCTAGGCTGATGGAAGAATTCTTCTGTCAACCTAGCGCTGTCTACATGGAGACTTAGCTACACCACTCACGGGTGGGGATTTTTCACATCCCTGAGCAACGTACTTAAACCGACCTAGTTTTCTAGGGCAGACGAGGCCTTAGTCTCACTGTGCCTCATTTTCAGACCCGTAAATGAGGAGAGAAATACTTCCCTACTCACAAGGTGTTGTGAGGATAAATACATTCAAGGTTATGAGGAGCTCAGATCCCACGGTAATGGGGGCCATATAAATACGACAGAAGAGATTAATGAAACATTTACGTTTCCTGCTCTGACAGGAACGTTCCTCCCAGTCCAGGGTATTTCAGTGGAGTTTAACATTACCTCCCGATCTTTCTGCCCAAATCTTTCTCTCTCCAGCATACGAGTGCTAGTCAGTAGGGAGCTGATGTCAGTACACGTTAGGTTAGGCCAACATGCCAACAACCTAATCCTGCTTTGCACTAGTAGGAAATCTCTCTTTCCAGTGAATCTGTGGATAGCGTGTCGGGGGATTCAGCCCACCTCGCACCGAATAAATACAACACTCAAATAAGGACAGATGTTTTCCGGCGAGATGGCTTAGCACAGTAGCATGGAACTTGTAATAATGCTCCCTACAAAAGGCAGTTCTTTGTGGTTAATATAACACAGCCTAGATTTGTCTCCCTCTATATGAGTCCTGAAACTTGTAAATGCAGATGAATAGAATAGTGGGCGCTGCACTGCTGAAGAGCTCGGGTCTGGCGTTTTGCGTTTAAATAATTTTTTTTTGTATTTGTTTTTTTGGCAAATCAGCCTTGACACTTAGGCTAGGTCTACACTACCCGCCTGAATCGGCGGGGAGGGAACAACCCGCTCGGGGTTGGATTTTTGCCCTCCCTT